TTAAAAAGGTTTGCCATTCATCAAGGGAGTAATGTTGATTTTAGATTGAGGTTCTATAGCAGTATACAAGCAATAACAAGCAATAAGAGTTATACAGCCTTTGAAAGCAGCTCCTTCTAAAGCTTTAGGATTAAAGTCCAATTGTGTAATATCGAATATTAAGTTGTTTTCGAAGGCAATATCCTCTCCATGACTCAATAATCTATCGAAACAAATAACAAAATTAATATAAAATAAAAAACTAAGTTGCTCAAGTTTTAAAAAGATTTCATTAACATAATGACATCCCATTGGGTAGCAAATCTTTCCATTTCATAAATTTTATCTCTAATATATCTACAATTTCATTGTAAAATTTTTAAATTAATTGATTTATTTGTGATTAGCTTAAATTCATAAATGATTAAAGAAGTTTTACCATAGAAGATTTAGTTATTTCTTTGTTTACCTTAGAATAAGGTATTTTTATCATTTTTTTCGCAAATGGATGAAAAGTATTTTCAGAGGGTTTGTTCGATTCTTTACTCTTTTCACTCTTTTTGAGGAGTGAACATTTGAATTAGAAATGTCCAAGAGTGCTGATTACGAATTCGATTACGTGTTTCCTGTCGCCTTAGAATTGATTAAAAGAAGATTAGCAGGATTCAAATTCTCGTCATATTTCAGAGACCGTTGCCGGGAGTCTAATGATGACTTCCTGAGGGCTGCTCCATTGGTAGAAGGGAGTGACTCTCTATTATCGATAAAATATTCACAATTGGCTTTCTGGAACTTGTAGTGTAGCCTTGAGTTGGAATTAGACTTGTTTAGATTTTCCTGAGTTTTTCCTTTGTCATTACTACATTGATTTGGAAAATTTCTAACTACTTCTTTATAAGGTAAAAAGTCTCTTTGAAAAATGGGAAATCTTTACTTTCTGTTATTTAACATCTTAGGTTTTTTATATACTAGTTTCCTTGCATCTTCCATCGCCAAATTTTCATACGCCATTAGCTTTCTTATTTCGTATTCCTTACGATATGATAAGCAGCTTCTATCTATAGATATATATTCACCTTTGCAATTAGCGCATTTCGGTGTACTAGTCGTGCATTCCTTCTCGTGCTTGCTTTCATCACACATACTGCATTTAGAATCTTTTTACACCACTCGGATAATCGAATTTAAAGCAGTTGTAGTGGATGATTGATAAAGGTTCATATAAGCTTCATATAAGATTCCTCTTTAATTCTCACTTTGTGAATGAATATTTCGTTAGGTAAGTTTTTGGCCTGAAAAGATAATTACCACTGATCTGCTAGGAATCCATTTGGGATCACTGTCCTGAGTAACTAAATCCTTGTTTCTTCTATTGAATCTTCTTATGCTTAGAACTTCATATTCAGATTCAATGAATTCGATGATTTTCTTTTCCGAAATATCTTCGTCCACCTTAATCCTTTCCTCATGAGTTTGAAGCTCAGAACGTAGTCCTTTCAAACCGTTGTCCTTCAATGACGAATCCTTGAGCAGGAGGTTAGCCTCACTAGCGTTCTTGAAACCGATTCTTGATTTTAATTTACTACTAATAAAAATACTTGGGTATTTATCGCATATTAATTTGCTATTTTAAACAAGCTTAGGCTGGTATTAATGATATCAGAATTATTACTATCTCTGTAAGAGTCCTGTTGGGTTCATATTGAATATGGACCCTTGTTATCCTTTTAGTATTCCGTGACTAACGGCTTGTAATCATTCGTCGATTTAGCTATTACTGTTTCTTGTGATTGAACCGTATGCAAATTTTTCTTGGCGGGATTCTCTTCATTGGTATCAGAAAATTTCTTTTTGTTATAGCAAGTTGTAGACCAATCCATGTCACTCTCCTTCGCCTAGTTATTCAGCGAATCCATTATTGTTCGCTCTATGTATATATTGTCCCCACTAATGCGGGGGTAAGGTCTCAATTGATTGAACTTGCACATTATAAAGACGTAAGAGGACAAACACCGTCCAAAGTTACTCTGTATCTTAAAGTTCGTATTAGAAAGTTATACAATAAGTTGTACTTCTTAACTGGGATTCAAGGAAAATCCCCGAATATCAGGAGAAAGTTTACTCGTAAAGTTTACTTCACAACTACCTTGTGTCATAAAATCTAAATAGAATATGAAAATGTGCATCTCTAGACATCTCGACGAGCGAATTGCCAAAATAAGAGAGGACACAAGTTAGAATTAAGTCAAAATTATCAAGATATTACTGATATTCGACTTTCTACTGACTTTATTTGATCAAATCTATGACTATGACTTATAGAGCGAAGTGCCTTGAATTACCTGAGTTCGACTGTAAAATGACTTCAACTTTTTTCCCTATTTATCGTCATTTGACATCGATTCGTGATAAATAAGGCTTGGTCGAGAAAACTTTTCGACCTAATAGAAGGTCGAATAAAGGTTATTTTGTTTTATTTTGCTGCTTAGGAACAATAATATATTACTTTAATACATACATATATATCATATCTATCATATATATCATATCTACATATATATCAATAAACGTTTCGACCATTTGGTCATTCTCAATATTACAAACCAATATCAACCGCTACTTGCTATATTATCATTAACTTATCGTTTACAAATTATGTATTAACATAAAAATCCATTACGCAAGAATTCTTAGTTTTCTTTGTTTCGTTATGAAATATTGTGTCGTTGAATGCGAAATTATTGTTACACCCTTTGGAATCCATCCAGACATCTCAATTTCTTCTCATAGAAGTCCCAAATTCTGTGAATCAAATAGATAATGCCGACGGATAAATCGTAAAGTATTGCATGTTAAAACCGCTGACAAGATCTCAAAAGTACATATATCGTCAGTGTGTTTTTAATATAAGTACATTATATATGTATTTAAGATTATGTCAAATTATATATTGCGATGCATAAACTAGTCCAGTAAATAAACAAAATATTTATTTAAATGATAAGGAGCATCCCAGATAGCACGGAGGCGAATTGAAGTTCATAGAGAATTCATTTTTCAAAGAAGACATACAGAATTAGAAAAATTTCTTCTTCTTCTTTTTGAATTGGCATCGTAGTCTAACTGGCTGATATTTAGCCACTGGTCTTCGGAATTGAACAAATCGTAAATTGGAATGCAATGCATCGGCCATATCGAACCGGACGAAGAACAAAAAAGATGATGTAATCAAAATGAAAATGGCAAGGCGCCTCTTCAAATATTAGATGCCTGCGACTACGACGCCATAGTATAAGTATATACAGTATAGATACTGAACTTTTTATGTGGTCCCCAATTTTTAGTACGCATGCGTCGATTTCCATTTCCGAACCAGGAATGTGGCTGCCTTTACCAAGTTGAAATTGAAAGATTAGGTTAGTTTAGCTGGATCTCCTTCCCATAAAATATAATCAACATTTTCGCCTATAATATTGTGTAAGACTCGTGATAGAAGGAAATCGGGCCAAACATGAGTATCACTAAATGAGAGCTGTGGTACGTCGTTCGTACAAAGCTTAATTTTTTTTTAATTTAAGAGGAAAATATGGCAGAGTTAATAAAATTAAGTTTTACTAAAAAATTAAAATCAAATTTTTTCGGAGACGCTATAATATTTAAACTGTTATATTTGTATAAAGTATGCGTGCGTATATTATTAAATTGCAACTTCACATTATAATTATAATTTTCATGCAATATATTATTTTTTCATACATAATT